TCCCTCCCTCCCTCTCTCTCTCTCTCTCTCTCTCTCTCTCTCTCCCAGCTTTATTTTTCTCTATTTTTACTATAATGACTATTTTCTTAGCCAGGTCCAGAGTTTCAAAGAACTGGAGAATGATAAACAGAATCTGGCCAGCAGAGGGAGCCACTGGTGCTGGAGCTGTGCTGTCTGGGATTCTATGCAGGGCTCAGGGACATGCAAGACCTGGCATGCACTCCTGGCCTCCCAGCATAGAAGAGATGCAAATAGACTCATGGAGAAACTGTGAGAGCAAAGGTGAGCTGCAAGAATAAGTGACAGAGAGACAGGCTGTGTCCTGAGGGGAAGCAGATCACCCTGAGTGAGGGGAAAGAGTGTGAAGACCCAGGAGCATTCTGATGGGCTTCACACTGGGTCACCTCCAAACCCACAGCTGGGCCATCGTCCTTGGACAAGGGTCCAGAGGCTACAGTCTCTGTTCAGAGGAAGCTCCCAGGAGAAGGAGGGTGAGCTGAGGTGGGCTGGGCAGAAGACAGAGCAGGGACAGACCTAACTCAGCTCAGAGGTGCTTGCCAGGAAGCAAACAGAAACTTCTACAAAACTGGAACAGGTGCAGCTGTTTTACGGCTGATTCTGGGGGTTTCCAGGCTGCCCCAGGGCCAGCTGGAGGATACAGGAGACTGGGTGAATGGCAACAAGCCCCTAGCTCACCCCTAAGGAGTCCTCGAGCCACAGGTCTGCTAGCCCCGGATCTAGAAGTTTATTTTAAAGGAAAAAGGACTTAGGTTATTTAGTCTCACCAAAGCCTGGCCTTCTGAGCCAGAGAAAATGGATTCTCAGACATTAAAATGACAACCTTGCCCCCACCTTCCCTTCTCTCTCAACAAGCAGAGGCTTGTTTTTTTAAACAGACTTTACTATGTAGCCTGGCTAACCTGGCATTCTTTATGTAGATCAGGCTGGCCACCAACTCACAGAGATCCTTCTGCCTCCATCCGCAAGTCCTGAAATGACAGCTGTGCACCTCTACCACCTGGGTTTATGTGGTGCTGAAAACGGAAGGGACACGAGAGTCCCATACACACAATGCAAGCGCTCTACCAACAAGCTACACCCCCACTCACCCATCCCAATTTCCTTTCTTATTTTTTTTAAAACCGAGTCTGGTCTGCTTTTTATAGAGCCCACAATTTTCCTCTTTTTCTTACTCATTGAGGAAATAAAAAATCCACCTGAAGCCAACTGCTGGCAGTAAAGTATTTCCCTTTAAGAGAAATAGCGAACAGGCATCTTAACTTATGTCCCTTCACTAGCAACAGGATATACAGATTTTTCTTTTCTCTCTGGCACAGTGTGGCCCACTGGGGGCCTGGGAGGGCCCTGGGCCCTCCAGCCACTGAGGGCTACTGTGGCTACTGGGAGAAGCAGGCCAGAAGAGCAGTCAGATCTGATTTTATGCTTCGTTCTCCTGCCGTTTCCGATTCCTCGGTGCAGGCTCCCTGCAAAATGACCACTTGACCTCTCCCAGAAGAGCCATTAACCTCCATAGTCTGCAGAGTAAACAGCTTAATTTTCTGATGGCGGCATGACAGGAGAAATTACAAAGCCAATTCCCTCTCTCCGTCTGCACAGATGCCAAATGTAAATCACTCCATTTCGAGGAGAGGGACATCCTGCCTCCTCGCACCCTCGGGGAGGCCACTCCAGACATGACTGTAGAGACAGGAGCTCTTCCTGGGCCTCTGGGCTGCCTGGAGAGGCTGCCACCCTCTGGAAGCTGTAGAGCCCTTTCTCTAGGATTGAAACACCCCACCTTCCACCCAAGTCGGAATCTAGAGGGCTGGAGGCTCCACACCATCAAATCAACCGTCACCCACGGCTGAGGGTGCCGAGGTTCTCACCCAGCCAAGAGCAAGCAATTGCTATTTTCATCATCCCTTTCCATTAATGCATTTACTCAGGCAACACTAGTAATCTGGAATAGCCCCTAGCAACGATGAGACTGCATTCAAGAAAAACCAGCCGACATAAATGACCTAGATTACTTTTTCATTATCCAAGGGCAGGGCCCAGATCAGTGAGTTAAGCAGTCCAAGCGTGCCTAGCTCAATGGGCATGAGGGCTCAGTCACCAAAGCACCTGATGGAGATAACTTCCAGCAGGATACCCTGCTGCCTACAAGCCAGGCAGGAACTCCAAAGCATCACGCAACCTCAAAAGTATGAGATTCTCAACTTGTGGTGCTGTTTCTGTCGACCAGGCTAGACATGCACAACCTTTCGGAAATCAGCTCCTGAGATGGAGAACTGTGTCACAGAGATTTGGGTCACTGTGTACAAAGTCATTCCCAAGCTATTGTTTGTTGACCATAAGAAACAGGCCAAGGGTCTGGGGAGATGGCTCAGTACGTAAAACCTTTGCTATACAAGTATGAAGACTGGTGTTCAGGACCCCAGCTCATATAAATGCCTGAAGGACATAATAGCCTTGGAAGGCAGAGACAGAGGACCCCTCGACAGGACGGCGAGTGAGAACGGGCCATACCTCTGATCTGCGTTTGACTGAGAGATGCTGCCTCACTGAATAAGGTGGAAGGTGAATGGAGGATGATACTCCTGACAACCTTGATCCTCCATACACACGTACATGTGCGAGCACAGACATACGCCCACAAGCATGCATATACACATGTGTATGTGCCAATGCACATGAAAACTTGTAACTACACACATGAAAATAGAAAGAAAAAATTCTATAGCTTATAAAACAAGGTCAAGCCTGAGCCCACATTAGTTTCCTTTTCTTGTTGCTGTGACCAAATACATAAATTTTAAGAAAGGAAGGAAACACAGGCTCACAGCCTGAGAGTCACAGAATGCCGTGGTGGGAAAGGCCTGGCGGCAAAGCATGAAGTGGTCTGGTCAGATTGCATCACAAGAGGAAGCAGAAAGAGGTGAATCATGGTAACAAATCAGCCTCTTCCTTTCCCCCTTCCCCTTACTCCAGGACACTCGTACATGGGATGCTGCCCACATTTACAGCGAGTCTTCCCTCTTCAGTTAAACCTCTCTACAAATACCCTCACGGACACATCCAGAAGTGTGTACCCTACATGATTATAAACCCACTCATATTCACAGCATCAGATGAATGTCTGCATCTGAGGTCAAACACCCAAATGCTGGTGTTTGTGCTGGGCAGTGAGACTGCAACGACCTTTCCTTCTTCTTAGGCTCTGTGATTTCTTCAATGAGCATGTGGTAAGGAAGGATGCTAGCAGGCCTTGGGCTATATAGCTCAGTGGTCCAGCCTTACATGGCATGGACAAGACCCTGAGGGGAACAATCACTTTGTTGGCTACCATGGCACATGCCTGTAACTCCCGAGGGCAGGAGGTAGAGGCAAGGGAATCAGAAGTTGAACTATATAGAACAATAACTAGCTTCAGGCCACCCTGGGAGTGTGCCAGGCCCTGTCTCAGTAATGAAACAGGGTTGGAAGGATAGCTCTGCAGTTCAGAGGACTTGTTCTTAAGAGGACCTGAGGTTAGTTCCAAGATTCCACATGGTAGTTCACAAGAGGCCATAATTCCACTTCCGAGGATTCTGACACTTTTTCTGACCTCTGTGGGTAGCATGTATATATGTAGTGCACTAAATACATGTAGGTAAAACACTCATACACATAAATTTTTTAAAAAAAGTGGTGGTGGTGCACACCTTTAATTCTAGAACTCAAGAGGCGGAGGCAGGTGGATCTCTGAGTTCAAGGTCAGCCTGGTCTGCACAGTAAGTTCCAGAACAACCAGAACTATACATAGAAACCCTGACTTGAAAAAAATAAAAACAAGCCAAAATTCTCTTAATTAAAAATGAATAAAAAACGTATTTAAAACAAAAAAGATGATGCCGGAGGCTGCATCCTGACTGTCCTCCAGAGGTCTAAGAGCTTGGCCCACAGCTGACAGCAATGTGGAGAGGCGGTAAATCCTTAAGGAGGTGGGGTCTAGTAAAAAGAAGTTAGGTCTCTAAACGGGGCCTTTTGAGGGGATACTGGGATGCCTCCTCTTTCACTCTTTGCTTCCCTGCCTCCGTGGAGATGAGCTGGATTCGTCTCCTCCCATGATGTCCACCCTCACCAAAGGCCCAAAGCAAGGCACCATGAAGCCCTGAGATTGTGAGCCTCCCTTTCAGCTGTTTACCTCAGGTATCGCTCGAGTGACAAAGCTGACTAGCACGGTGTTCAGGTGTATACACAACCAAAGTATGGGGACCAAATCCCAACTCTAGAGTGAAGGCACCCAGCACCTAGCACCCAGCACCCAGCACCCAGCCCAGAGCATCCTCCCAGACCCCAAGTCCACCTGTTACTATAGCAAGTATCCCTAGGAACCATTCCTGATCATTCTGTGCTATGTCTTGTGCTAAGTAAGGGACCTTTGCTCCCTTTACCATAAACTTTGGACAGTGGACACCTGGCCTTTGAGGTCTCCTGGGGCTGAAGCCCCCACCTCTCTCCTGGCCCAAGATTCATACAGAAACTTGGTCAGGCAGCTCTGGAAAGATAATTAAAGGGGGAAAAAAAGGAAGAGTGAAGAGAAAAGGCGAGGGAGGGAGGAGAGCCTCTGTGCTCACTCCCAAGCCACCTGAGGGAGGACAGCCCCTGTGCTCACTCCCAAGCCACCTGAGGGAGGACAGCCCCTGTGCTCACTCCCAAACCACCTGTCTGAAGCTGTCTCTACTTGGTCCCATCACAGAGAATCACAAAGCACAGGGCAGAGCTGCCCAGCACACTCCCTCTGCCGCCCGCCACCTCTGCCGACAACTCACCCTTTTCCCAGGGATATGAGCACGGGGTCTTTCAGCTCCATTAGCACTTGGAAGGCTCGGTTCATGTTCTGATAGGAAAAGGCTTCCCCAGCGTCCGCAATCACCACACAGTTTGGGTTGGACATATCAATGTCATCAAATTCTGAGCGGACTCCTGGAAAGACAAGAGAGACAGACAGCCCTCAAGTCCAGAAGGCGGCCTACTCCCAGCTCCTAACAAGGGCACCTTCTCTCTGCCAGGTCTGCCTGGCAGAATATGTATTTCAGAACAGCCTTGTGATGTTTTGAATGAAAATGGCCCCCACAGGCGCACAGGGAGTGGCATGCACCTTTATAAGGTGGCATACACTTTTAATCCCAGCAGAGGCAGGCAAATCTCAGAGTTCAAGGCCAGCCTGATCTACAAAGTTCCAGGACAGTCAGAGCTGCACAGAGAAATTCTGTCTCAGAAAAAAATAAAAAAGAAATAAAAAGAAATAAAAAAGAATTGCCATGGTGATAGTGTCTCTTTACAGCAACAGAAACCCTTAGACAGACCTGAAGCTGGGAACTATCCAGGCATAAATATACTGACATGGCTAAGAGCATGAACACAGTGGTACATGTAACCCTATGATGAGCCTCTAGGCTGGGAGGAGCAGCTTTACACAGAAGACTACTTTCTGTGAAAGAGAGGGTTACCTCAGCAGGCCCAGCTTGCTCGAATCCTGTACACTCCAGAGAAAGGCCTGCTTTTAAGACAGGCCCTCTAATGGCTCTAGGAAGGACCCCAGGGACCCTACAATCCTGTTTGATAGGAGGGATTTGCACTCCTGACCAACTGGGTCATACTGGGTCAGTCTGATCTTGAGTGAACTGTTTGGATGGAGATGGAGTCCCTAAGGTCAGTCACGTGGGGACTGTGTACTTAGATGACTAGCCCTTCTCAAAAAACTGTAGGCACCGAAGCTCCCATGAGCTTCCCTGTCGCCAACCTGCAGTGTCACACTTCACTGCTGAGACAACCGAGCACATCCAGCGTAGGGACAACTGGGATTTCACGCCTGGTTTCTCCTGCCCTTTGCCCCACACAGCCCCTCCCTTGTTAAGCTGAGCTGTGGTCTTTCACTGTACCCAGCTTTAACCCCAAGTGCAATGTCTCTCTGAGTTCTGGGGGCCCTTCCAGGGAATCACTGAAACCTAAGGTGGTCTTTGGGGTCCCTGGATCAATTATACATTGTATAACTCTATTAGGATGAAATTTTAAATTAGGTACATTTATTTACATCATCACTAATGTCACTAAGGGGGTAGGGTTGGGGACTGACAGGAAGGGTGTGCAGGAAGCTTCAGGATGATAATATTGGAGATCTCTAAGGATGTGGGATTCCAGGGGCATGAAAATTAAGGCCAGCAAAAGTGCAGTAGAGAGCCAAGCCCAGGCCCACACCTTTAATCCCAGCACCAAGAGGCAGAGGCAAGAGGATTCCTGTGAGTTGGAGACAAGCCTGGGCTACAGATCAAGTTCCAGGACAGTCAAAGATACACAGAGAAACCTTGTCTTAAAAAATAAATAAATAAATAAATAAATAAATAAATAAATAAAAGTGTAAGAGAGGTCTGAGCTTCTCACATGTAAAAATCTTCTATCAGCAGAAAAGAAAACAAACTGACCACATACCGGGCTCTATGAAACGCTGAGGACTGTAGCAACATCCACTGGGGAATGATTCAAAAGTAAAACTGACAAGACAGATGGAGACATGGATGCACACAGACCTAGAAAACACTATAGAATATCTTTCTCTATGTCCAGGAGGCTGAAAAAATTATTTTAATAGCATGCGTGCGTGCGTACACACACATGCACGTGAAGGGTAGGACAATACTGGGTGTTTTCCTCAACGGCTCTCCACCTTGTTTGTTGAGACATATCTCACCGAAACTAGAGTGTGCTAATTGGGCCAGACTGATGGCCAGCAAACCCCAGGAATCCTCAATGCCCTCAATCCTTGGATTATAGGGGTACACCACTTTGCCCGGCTTTTCACATGGCTGTTGGGGATCAAGCTCAACTCCTAGTGCTTGTGTAGCAGGCAATTTACTGACTGACTCATCTCCATACCTGCCCCCAAAGTAAATGATTTTTGAGGTCTGTTATATACTTGAAGATTTTCATAGTAAAGTATTAGGGAGGAAACATCAGTAAGAAAACCTAGAGAAAGTCAAAGCCTGAAACCAGGTACAGCAGTAGAGGAAGAACATTTGCCCCGCCCCCTCAGCTTCTGTTATGGCAGCTGGATTCTTTGGTTAGCACCACCTCTGAGCCAATGTTGCATCTGCCACTCCTGCCTCTATGCCTCTTCCATGACTAACAACCCCTTTTCCCCCAGGGAACAAGAGATAGAATTTCTAAAGACCCTGGCAGGGTTCCTGACTACAGACAAACGATAGTAGAAAGAAGATTTTTTAAAGGCTGAGCATGATTCCCTTAATTGGTGCCAGGGCAATGGATTCCACCCTCCAGCCTTCCAGAGAGTGTGCTCCACCTCAGATGAGTGCCTTGCCTCTGCTCAGAGATTTGTTAAAATGAACACAGTACTGAGGGAGGGAAGAAGGAAGGAAAAGACAACGAGTGACCTCAAGTATTTGAACCCCATTTTTCAATAGTCACCCCCTCCCTCTGCTTTGCTCCACAAAAGCTCCTCCCCACTGAGGGCTCAAGGATCTCTGGTCTTGCATTCAGACCCAAATCATCTGGATTCAGACCTTGCTCCAAAAGCCATTTGCAAATTTCACCAACCGGCAGGACTAGGTATCACTGAGGCAGTTCAAGGCTGTGGTTGGCAGGTTTTGGAAAGCTATAAACTGCAATCTTGATTTGCATACTCTCATATTCATCCCTACCCTTCCTTCCTGCTTTCCTCTCTGTCAATAATCCCTTAGGTGAGTCCCTGACCTCTTGCCTAGATCTAGAAAACCCACTTCAGGCTTTACTCCCAGGAGCATCCTGAAGCTAGCTAGCCTTGAGGATGGAGGTCAAAGGGGGATAGTAGGGGTCTGGTCTTACCTCTCCCCATCCCCCAGCAGGAAGCCTCATGAATTCTGTACCCTGAAAACTCACAAGTGTCATGGAAGAAGGTTTGATGTGCATGTGTTTCCTATGGTTTGGCCCAAGGAGAGGTGAAGGCCTTCTCCCCAGGCTTCACCTCAAAAAAAACAAGTCTAAGGCAGGTCTACCTTCATGGATGAGCAAGTGTGGACGCAGGCCTCGCTCCTTCAGGATCTGGCAGGTGGCTGGTGCAGGGGCAGTCACTTCTCCTTCTGAGATGTCAAACCCCAGCCGCTGAAGTATCCCCACCAGCTCTCTCCGGGATTTCTGGGACTCATTGGTACAGAATCTTACTTTCAGCGGGGACCGTTTCAGTCTAGGACAGGAAAACACAAACGAGAATGAGAGAATGTGTTCAGCACAGAACAATATGGCCTCCTGAGGAGAGACCCAGAGAGGGACTTTTGTAAGGGCAGCTGGTTAAGTAGCAGTGCAGGTCAAGTCACTGTGAGTTGATGAGGTGGATCAGACAGACACAGATGTGTTCAGGCTAGGATCTCACAGCTGGAACAGACCCACTTCTTGACATGGAGAATGCTGGCAGACCACATCTCTAAATGGCTTGTCTATCCTAACATGATCTGAGTCAGCTGAGACTCCCTAAGCTCCTCCCACTTCTGCTTGGAACACTTCACCCCACCCGCACTGGAGACATGTCACCTTTCCACCTGTGCTACTTTTATCTGGCCCTCCAGACCCACACATCAATTCCGCACCACCATATGCCTGGCCCAGCTGCAAGCTGCCTCAGAATGCCCACCCACAGCTGTTTGTCCACCTCATTCACAGAGCCTGCATTTCCCATTTCCATGGGTTACTAACTCTGGGTCCATACTTCTCCATCCGAGTAAGGCAGAGGTACCAAGCTGAGGTTTGACTTCTCCATCATATCAATAAACAGGGAACCCCACTTTGCATAAACCCAGAATTGAGGTTCCATAAAACTGAAGGACATTGAAAGCCAACAGCTGTTGAGGGTTGGTCTGGTGCTGTGTATACAAATGCTAAATTCTGAACCCCAAGATCTAATTGCCCCCAGACCTGTTCTTGCTGTGTAAACCTTGCTCCCCAATTTAAAGTTTGTAGTTAAATAAAAAGTGTCTACAGCCAATTACTAAAAAATAATAATAATACAAGTAGGAGTGGCCTCGCTTACCAGGCTGCAGGTTGCAAGGAGAGAAAGAACAGGAGAAAGAAAAGAAGATGGAGAGAACAGGAGGTCTCCATTAGATATGATGAACCAGGACCACGGGGCTGAGAGAAGTCCATCCTGAGGACTGATGGAGCAGAAACAACCTGGGTGAGACACAAACAGCAAGGAGCTTGGGGGGCATAGCTGGGAAGTAGCCAGTCTAGCATAGAAAAATAGTTTAGGGATAATCACCCAATAATTGTGCTAAAGCTGATTAAATAAATCAGTAAAACTCCACCTTGATTATTGGGGGGTAGGGGAGGCTGGCTGGGTCATACTAAGAACTAATAGAGTTATTAACAGCACTTACAAGAAACAGCACCATGACCCTTCCCTCAGAGTGTTCAGGTGGCACTTAGGTGAGTTCTTTGGACACAAAGTCACAGAAAGGATACCTCGAGAAGCCCCCAATGAGATGACATTTTACCCATCTACAGATAATCACTGTGCACTTGCTGTACCCTGGGTGCTGGGAATGGACACGTATTGTGGCCTTCCCTGGCCACAGTTCTCGGTAGCATGAAGGTGGCTGGCAGTGAACAAGAAGGATCACAGGAAAGGCAACTGTACCTGGGAGGAGAGGGGCCCTGGAGGACACACATGGGGTGAAGGGATAATGGCTAGATAGACAGAAAGGTTGGGGAGGCCCTCACTGAGAAGCAACCTTAAGGAGTTGTACGAGGAAGCAAAGGAAAGGCCATCCAGCAGCAGGAGTGGATCCTAGGAGGCAGCCAGCACACAGACTGCACAGGGACAGCAAGCTTAGCCATGGGGTTTGTGAGAGGTGGGAGAACATGGACCTGCCTCAGGAGGAAGGACAGAAAGCCTTGGGTCTTTCTGGGGCTCAGTTTCATAACCTGTGAAATGAGATAAGTTATATCCTCACTAGGATTGGGCCTCCCAGGCCATCAATGGGTGTGGACTTCAAGCCCCAGTTTTAAATGACTGGATCTGTCACATGACACCTCTTTGACTGAGACCATATCTATAAGATGAATACTGAAGAGCACACTCCTTCACCTACGTATGTTCTTTATGAAGACACATGCATTTAACATTGGAATGCATCGACTGTAAAAACAGAGCTTACAGGATGTATGAGGTCAAGACAGCCTCCCAGTGTCATGGAGATCAGTGAGAGCATATTTAGGGACACTGCTTAAGAGCAGGGCCTGGTGACCATCAGCATAGTTGTTTGTTTTTGCTGAGTTTCCCTGTTTTCATTTTTAAAATTACATTAGTTTAGTTTATGGGGATCATATGTGCAACAGTATGTGTGTGTAACTCAGAAGACCCGTTAAAGGAGTTGTTGATTGTATCCTTCTATCTCGTGGGCCCCAGGGACAGAACTCAGCTTGTCAGACTTGTCGACCTCTTTTTGTTCTTTGAGATGGAATCTTAATTCTAGAACAGAAATTGGCCTGGAAACTCATGGCAATCCTCCTGCCTCGGCCTCCTACATGCTGGGATTGCAGACATGGGTTTTGTTATTGTTGTTGAAATAGTCTTATCGGTGTAGCCCTGGCTGGCTTGGAACATGAGATTCTCCTGCCTCTTCCTAAGGTTTGTTAGATAAAGTTGGAGGAAGTTTTTGTGCACTGTGTATTCAAATGTTGATTTCTGTAACCTGAGATCTGGTTGCAGTCCAGGCTTTCATATTGTCATTATTATAAAGCATCTTCCGACTCGGTATTTTGTAAAACATTGTTCTCCACCATCTTCTGATTGGTTAAATAAAGAGCTGAACAGCTTATAGCTGGGCAGGAGATGAAAAGGCAGGACTTTCAGGCTCAGAATGAGGGAGAGGGTCTCAGGTGGGGACCAGGGAGTAGCTATCAGGACACAGATGAAGAAGGAGGTTCCAGGGCAATTCTAGGATGGCAGGTAACGGGCCACCTGGCTGGGAAATAGGTTAGAATAGCTCAGAATCTGCCTAGCTATACTGCCTGAAGCTTTTAACAAGTATAAAGGTCTTTATGTCACTATCCAGAGCAAGAGTGGGCATAGAAAGCCCACACTTTTACAAAAATACCCAGGTCCAGGAGAGTTCTGTAGGCTAAGTGAATGGAGGAAGAGCGTCCCTTCCAGGTGTGGAGACCCACCCTCCCAGGTTGCTAACAACTTCCACTGAGAAAACTGAGTCTGGAGGATGAGTCTGGTGGTGGGCCATGGGGAGATAGGGATGAGCTGGGCATCTGCCTGCCATGGGGCAGCAAGTGGGAGAGTAGGAGCCTCTTTCTGCCATGTCTGTGATGTTCACTCCACTCTGTCTCTATTATCGCCTCTGTTTCTCTAGGACATCCAGTATCTTCAGCCTTCCAACTTATGTGTTTATTGTCCTCCTCCCCGAGTTCAGCAACGTGGTCTGCTGAATTCTGTATGACATCTTCATGCTGGGCACACAGGGAATCCTTGGAAAAGTCTAAAACATTTTAGCTGCCACTTCCCTTAGGCTGTCTCTGATCCTCTGGGCCTCCAGCTCCCACAGAAGCAGGTGAGTTTCAGGGATTAGCCAGTCCTATGGCTAGCAGGTGCCATTTATGAAGAACTCTGTAGGTCTACAGCCATCCACACACAGACCACATCTTCCACAGTCTTGGTGATTCACTCCTTTCTTATTATTTGTCTTTCCTAATCAGAAGTTTATGAATGACCAATTACTCTCAGTGGTTAATTGCCCTTCATAAAGATGGCTTTTTTATTTTTAAATTAGGCAGTTAATATATTGTGACTAATAGCATCACCTTGTGTATTATGGATGGGTCTTCATTGATTGGTGCCTGGAATGTGTGATTCACACCCAAGTTAATGGAGCACGTGAGTGAAGAAGTGCAGGGGTCTCGGGGGACTAATTACTGCTAATGAATGGTGATGTGACCTTCTCAGAACAGTGAGCAATCGGTATGACAGCGAGATGGCAGAGCCTCACATCTGTCACTCCAAACACAACTTCTGATGAGGGTGGGAGGGAACAGCTCCTTGTCTCTTCTGAGGTACCAATATGAGTTCGTTGGAAATCAGTGCTTCCTCTATGCTAGCTTATCTGTCTGGGGATAATGAGGTTGGAATTATGTATGCAGAACCCTCTTTCTGAGCCCTGTCCCTTTATGCCACCAACAATTGTCCCCTTTTGATATGTCAACACAGACCCTGTGACCACCGGGGCCAGCCCATGAGGTCTCTTTATTTAAAATCACTGAAAATCATTACAGTAGTCACTACTGTTACTAAGATAGTGAAACATGAGCTGGAGAGATGTCCCAGTGACTAAGAACACATTCTACAGGTACAGAGGACCCACGTTTGGTTCCCAGCACCCATGTGGCAGCTCACAACTGTATGTAACGTCAGTTCCAGGGGATCAGACAGCCTCCCCGGCCTCTGTGGGCATTGTACACACATGGTGCACAAACACCCATACACATAAAATTAAATATTAATTTTTTTAAAATGTAATGCTAATAAACCACCAATACAGGTTTTCATGGAGTCTTGGCTCTGGGGAAGCACTGTCATCATACTGAATGTCCATGGCCTGATCTTGATCTTGTCTTCACACCCCAGGGCAGGTCCTCCTCACAGGTGACCCTTGCTATCTACGAGCTAACTGAGTAAATGTATTCCCCACTCAGGAGAAAGAAGGGAAGTCTTCTAGAAGAGAAATGCCCCAGGTCATCTGGCCCAAGAGCATAAAGCTTTTGGGGCTCTCAGCTCTATATGAAGTGTGCAGGCACAGAGGGCAAAATGCCCAGGACCTTGAAATGTAGCACTATGCCCCAGGCAGGGCCCAGCAGTCCCGACTGTCTGCTCTGGGGCATCCGACTCTCGAGAGGGGTGAGACATGTGTGGGCCAGACCTGTGTGTATACCTGGGTTGAAACTGAGATGGGCAGGATGGTGTACATCAGTGTGAGGCCTGGATGGCCTAAGCTATGGACTGAACTACGCCTCACCAAATTCCTACATTGAGACTCTAATGCCTGCCTCCCATGTGACCATACTTGGAGACAAGGCCTATGAGCAGCAAATTATGATTAAGTAGAATCATAAAACAGGGGTCCCCATATGATAGGCTTGGTATCCTCAAAGACCCCACAGGCTGGGTACGGTGACATATGCTTGTAA